TTACTTTTCATAAAACTTGTTAAATAAACTTTTGACGCATTTTTAATCTTTTGTATGTCGTGGGATGTGTTTGTCAATCGGAAAAAACACTTACTGAGCCGTGAAAAATATTTGTATTGCTTTCTTCTTTTCAGTTCGAAACTTTTGAACTTTTTGTAAAGTGCTCCCAGACATAAATTCAACAATCAAGGAAAAAGGGTATCGAAAGAAATCACAAGAAGATTGGTCCTTTATACAATTACCTCCAAAAAAGTAATGCACTATTCAAACAAAGATCGCTTTGAGTCAACACATTTGAATGGGAAGCAATTTTGCCGATAGCGCTGTCAAATTGACGGCAGTTTGGGTGCAACAGGATATATGACAATCGATGAATTTTTAATCCGGAAAGGTGCTTTCTTTTTAGGAAATCGTTTTACCTACACAAGACTATTTTTAACGTTTATTCGTGCTGTGGTTTTCACTAAATTCCGATCACTATAAAAATCGAAAATACAGATACAAGATCTGTGAGTGCACTTCAGATCATTTTTCAGTGCTTTCTTGAATCGGCACATGCAAAAGTATCTTAACGTTGAAAGAGGCGGAGAAATAACAAAACAAAATTAAAACAGCTTGTGATTTGAGTAGATAAGCACAGCTTTCGATGATAACCGTATAAATTGACGAACTTTTTTGAGATTTGATTACTAATCATGACTTGGCAAATTTTCAAACAATGGATCCAAGCCATTTTCTAAGAATTGATCAATAGGAGAGCCAAGCAAATGAAAAACTTAATATTACAATGCTGAACAAAAACCAATATAAACAAGGGTAGCCATGGATAATACGCATACACGAAAGCAAAAATAAGACTTAGGTAAGACGAAATGGAGCGGTAAAGTTTAAACGATTTCTTTTGTTCCGAATGCATGGAAGGCTTACTGTATGTTGACTTTACTCATTAGTCCTGGACTTAATTTTCTTCATAGGAAAAACCGAGCATCCCACAGTTTTCGTTTATGTAAACTCGAAAACTTTTTTTTTTAATCTTGAATTAAATTTTAAACTTTGACTTTTAATGGTTAACAGGCGATGCCTTCAATGTATCCGTTAGACACATCATTTCGTGGCAGAAACTTTCTCTTCAGGCATTATCATTACTCATTATTACTCATTAGGTACATTGTAAGACGCGTGAACTTATTACGACAAAAATTGTTTTGGTGTAAGATTTGCAGATTTCTAAAATCCCCACATAAAAGACGTTATTACTCAACGTGTATTCGTCTCATTGTAATGTCAGGTCTAATAAAGTAAAGAACATCATTTAAACATGGCGATTAAAATCCAAAAGGTTTATATTTCAGAGGCAGCAATGATCTGCCCGTGAGTTAGGAACCTTCACTTAACACAAACCACATACAGAAAGTAACTCTGTGAGTCTCTGAACTCAAGGTCTCTACTAGAAAAATAAACCCGATAGCACTTACTTTTGTCACAAGTAAGAAGCGCGGTGTTACGCTTTGC